TATAATTTGCACTGCAGGAACAATATAGTTTGTCACCGCTTTAACTGCCATGGCTCCATCCTATGGAATTCTGGGGTTTGTAGTTTGTTGTGGCACCTGAGCTCTCTGACAGAAAAGGCAACATATTCCACAAAACTATAAATCCCAGGATTCTATAGCATTGAGCCATGGCAGTTAAAGCAGTATCAAACTTCATTATTTCTGCAGTGCATATTAAACCTATATCTCAGTCCTCCAAGTGGCCTCCAAGTGTGATGGGTTATGCATTAATGCAAAAGCATTTGAGTAGCTGGATAGGCTTCTCTTACTAGTAGGAAAATAGAGACCAAGGGTTGACTATTGTAATATTAAGGCAGGGATGGGACACATGTACCCTTGCAGATGTTGTTGGAATTCACCATGTTGGTCAACCTATGGCACGCATGCCAGAGATGGCATGCAAAGCCATTTTCCCTGGCATGTGGGATGGGGAAGAGGAAAAGGCACATTCCTGTTTGTCCTGGCCACACCAGGCCTTTAGCTGCTTCCAGAAAAGCAGCTGGAAGCCAGGGAGGGGGCTGGGGGGAAGACATCCCACTCCAGAAGTCCTACCCCCATAGGGCAGATGTCCTGCCCTGAAAGTCCTGGCTCCAGCATGGGGTAACACTTGGTGCCAGAAGGCCATTTAGTTTGGGCACTCAGTGTTTCCATCACTGGACTACAGCTTCCAGTGTTCTTCAACATTGGTTGTGCTGGCAAGGGTTACTGTGACTTGTTGGTTGCTAACTGCCCTCAAGTCAATCTCGACCCATGGCGACCCTGTGGACGAGACATCTCTAAGGCCCCTTATCCTCCACTGCTCTGCTTAGTTCCTCTAAATGCATACCCATGAACTCCTTAATAGAGGCCATCCATCTGGCATGTGGCCTTCCTCTCTTTCTACTTCCTTCCACCTTTCCTAGCATTATTGTTTTTTCTAATGAGTCCTCTTTTCTCATGATATGTCCAAAATAAGACAGCCTGTTTTTTTCATCTTGGCTTCCAGGGAGATTTCTGACTTGATTTGCTCTAGGACCCATTTATTTGTCTTTTTGGCTGTCTACGGGATCCTCAGCACTCTTCTCCAGCACCACATTTCAAAGGAATTGATTTTCTTCCTATTTTCTTTCTTAACTGTCTAGCTCTCACATTCATACATGATAAAAGGACATACGATGGCTTGTATGATTCTACCTTTTGTGCTGAGTTGTATATCTTTGCATTTTAGAATCTTTTCTAGTTCTTTCATAGCCACCTCCCCATTCTTAATCTTCTTCTGATTTCCTGGCAGCAGTCCATGTTCCTGTCAATGTTTGATCATACGTATGGGAATTCTTTCTATTTCCTCATTGTTGGGGCTGAATTTGTGTAGATTCTCCATGGTCATTATTTTTGTTTTCTTTATGTTCAACTGTAAGCCTGCCTTTGCACTTTCTTCTTAGATCTTTCTAACTAGTTGTTCCAGGTCTGTACTCCAACAATATTAGGTGGGTGCTGTTCTCCCCATTTCTGTACTAGGGCAAGGCTATGTAAGGCAAGGGGATAGCATCCAGGCATGCTCTGCTTCCCAGCTCCTCATTTGCAGCACTGAAAGCTCAATGCAACAGATGATCCCAACTGTTGTCACTAGATGGCATCCAATTCATATTGCACCAAGCAGCTCTTGATGCTGCTTCTCCTCTTTCTTCCAGTCCTGACTCTAAGCAGAGCATCCTTCCCAGATGGAAACAATGCAGCCTATTTGCAAGGTTAAAGCAGAATATTTCGGATGGCCAGGATGATCCAAGACAGCTATCAGGCTGGGATGGTGGAGCTGGTCCCTTTAACCATTGCCTCACCAACTGTGACTGGGAGTTGGTTCTCAAATAGGAATCAAGCCCTGGAAATGGCATCTACCTGGAAGTGCTGAAGCTTGCTTGCGAGAAAGAAAAGAGCCAACCTTTGCTGTGAGGTTTTCATTCAGGTACATGCTGAGAGAGAAGGGAGTAACTGGTTGTGATGAAGGATCGCCTCAGTAGAAGAGTGTCTGGGTCCAGGTGTTTTTTCACCTGAGCGGTGGATTTAACACTTGGAGAAAAGGGTGTTGTGTTTGCCTCAATTTGCTCCCAAAATGTGACTAAAATCACCACTACACCATTCAATCTTCTTCTGTCTGTGTTCATACCTGTTCCTGCTAAAGCTGGCATCCCTTAAGAGAAAAAGCACAGAAACAGAGTACCTAAGGAGGAAAACGAAGCTCTAATTTACTTTATTTGCGTGGATATTTATTGGATCAATTCAGTATCCCTTTGCTTCACGTGTCGTCGGAGAGCCTCTAACCATGCACTCTTTGCAATAACCGTGGTCAGACTTATCAAATACTGGCGGTATTTTTAATTTTTTTCCCAAAAAAATTTTTTACAAAGTTTGAACAATGATTACAGTGAATTCAGATGGGAAGATAATGATCAGAAGATGTCTCGTCACTCTAAGGCCTTTTAGGTAAAGTTCTTCTATTTTGCTTCATGGTGGTGTAGAGTTTGGGAGGGAATGGGGGACTTCCTAACTGTGTGATATGCCAACCTTTTTGTTGCCTAAGGGGAGTCCAGCAGAGGTTAAAGTCTACAAAAGAAACAAGTTTGTTTTGACTTCACCTGAATGCAGGTGGTCGGATGCCTTGCCATAGTGGTGTCATGCTGGAATTGACGTCGGCTGATTTTTTTTGGAGTGAATAGTTACACACAAATGATTTCTTGTTGACAAGAGGGCTATATAATTTTAAACTTCATTAACTGTTTGTTGTTGCCATCATCATTGTGTGCCTTCAAGTTGTTTCCAACTTATGGACACCCTAAGGTGAACCTATCATGGAGTTTTCTTGTCAAGAGTTGTTTAGAGAATGTTTGCTATTGCCTTTCCTTGAGGCTGAGAGCATGTGACTTGTCCAAGGTCACCCAGTGGGTTTCATGGCTGAGTTGGGAATTGAACCCTGGTCTCCAGGGTCATAGTCCAACAAATCACTATGCGATGCTGGTTCTATACCTTAGATATATTATTCTAAGGGTGCATCTACGCTGTAAAATAATGCGGTTGACACCATTTTAAGTGCTGTAGCTTCATTCTATAAAATCATGGGATTTGTAGTTCTACAAGGTGTGCTGGCACCTCACAAAACTACGGATCACAGTATTCTGTAGGATGGAGCCGTGGCAGTTAAAGTAGTGTCAACTACATTATTTCTACAGCATAGAAATCTAAGTTAGCTGGTCTCTGTGAGATTAGTCCAGGACTGTGCAGTTTCTGCTCTCAGTGAATTCCAGGAATTTCAATTTCTCCTTACTATTGTGTTAAAAAAGTATGTATTTTTTTAAATGGATGGCATTACACTTGGTCTCCACCAAACCAAGACAGATGCTTTTGTTTGTTTGGTGGCTGCTGTCAACTCTTTGCTCTGTGTACCGCTTCGCCTTCCTTTTCTCCTAAAATGATATGAGGGAATTTAGTGTATTTGACAACTGCATTCAAAAGGCACTCTCTTGGTTTGTGTTATGTAAGGAGCAGATAATTCAAAAGACTGCAATATTAAGTAAGAGTGTGGATTTCTTTTTTTTTTTAATGGTAACAAGAAATATGGCCAGAACCTGTTGTTCTATGGTGGTCTGTTCTTTCTAGACAGCTAAGTTTAGGATGCTGGTTGTTGATCACTCAAATTTGCCAAAATTGGGAGACTCTGATAGCATGTAATATTGCTGCTTGGTGCATTCCATTCAATAGCTGGTTGCCCCACCTGGTGGGATGAAGTGAACTTTTTAAAGAAGCTGCATCTTATTTAAAAACCAAGGCTGGGGTAGAAAAGGGACATAAGAGAGATGAAGTTACTCTGAAGTCCCATGACTCATTAAATGTCCCCTGATGTTCAGATATTTCTGGGATGGGTAATGTTTGGCCTTCCAGGTATTGTTGGACTGCACTCTCATCTTGCCACCCACTTGGCTCAAACTAATGGGAGTTGCAGTCTAACAGCATCTCGAGGCCCAGACTTTGCTCACTCTTATATCAGTAGCTGCCTCCCCCCCCCACGTGACTGTTTGTAGTTTACATTTGGAATCTGTGTATGCTCATGGGGGAAGAAGCGAGATGATGGATGCATCTACACTGTAGAAATAATGCACATTGACACCATTTTAACTGTCATGGCTCCATCTGACAGAATCCTGGGACTTGTAGTTTTGCAAAGCACCTGCACTCTTTGGCAGAGGAGGCTAAAGACTGTAAAACTACAAATCCCATGATTCCATAGGAAGGAGCTACAGCTCTTAAAGTGGTGCCAAACTGTATTATTTATACAGTGTAGATGCACTCTAAGGTGGTATGCATAGTGAAGGCTATGTTGGTGAGACAACTACACAGACCACTCAGATTGTCCTCATGATAAAACTACTGTTGATGTTACCTTGCAAACAGATACTAAGAAAACAGCTTTCAAGAGATGAAGATGACTGAAAGTGGGTCAACGATGATTTCATGGCTATTCATCAGTTTATAATACTTTAGTTTTCTACAGCAGCAATAAGTGGGTTCCTGGATTAAAAAAATCATCATAGTAAATAAAAATGCAAATAGGAGATAATGATTTCCAATAAACCTTGGAAAAGCTACTACTGTATTTTGCACTACAACTCTCAAAATTTCCCAGAAAGTATGGCCACTGACTATTTTATCATGGGTATGTGTGTTTCTGATAGTTAGAGTCCAAAAAATGTAACAATTCCAATAGCTTGATCTTACCAGTGTCTTTCTCCTTTGGAGGTTTTTAAACAGAGGCTGAATGGTCATGGGTTGGGGGTGCTTTGATTGTGAGTTCCTGCATGGCAGGGACTTGGACTGGATGGTCTTTTTGGTCTCTTCCAACTCTATGATTCTTGGAAGTTTCACTAGACCCATATTTGTTGATGCATTGATAGCATTCAAGTCCTGCTTTATACCTGGAGTTTATAGTGAGAGCCAACATAACATAATGATTGTGTGTTGGACTCTGGCTCTGGAGTCCAGAGTTCAATTCCTGGGTTGGCCATGAAACCCACTGGGTGACCTTGGGCAAGTTGCATGCTCTCTCAGCCTCAGGGGAAGGCAATGGCAAACCTCCTCTAATCAAATCTTGCCAAGAAAATCCCATGATAGTTTTGCCTTGGGGTTGCCATAAGTCAGAAATGTCTTGAAGGCACACAACAACAACAGTGTGGCTCCAATGTTCAGGATTTCTGTTTGTGAAAACAACAGCAAGCAGTTTCATGGTGGTGGGGAGATGACACTGAGGCAGGGGGATGTTTCATGCTTTTCCACTACACAGTTTCCCCCATCAAAGCTTGCCCTCTTGGAGCTACTCAGCAGGGAAAACTCTACAAGGGATCTGTGCCTGAACTAGTGCTGAACCAAATATTTTTAATTCAGGATGGGCAATTATGGTGGGTCCAGGGTCAAACTATTTGTCTTTTAAATGGTAGGAGGAGGTTTGGAGGAGTGAAGGGGGTGAAAAAGCAGCCATAGAGGTCACATGCCACCCTTGGACAACCCTTTGCCTACCTTGCTTTAATAGTTGCTTTAGCTGTTCTTCTACTCTTTTATACTCTAGAGATTAATGGTTCCCAAACTTTAGTCCTCCAAATGTTTTGGACTTCAGCTCTCAGAATTCCTGATGTTGCTAAGCTGTTTGGAGCTTCTGGGAGCTGAGGTCAGAAACACCTGGAGGACCAAAGTTGGGGAATCACATGGGCAATTTTACTGACAGGTAGCACAGAGCCCTTCAGCATAAACAAATGGGGTGTATATGTTCTCAGCTTGAGGGGAAGGCAATGGCAAACCTCCTCTGAACAAATCTTTGAAAACCCCCAAAACAAAACACCATGATAGGCTTGCCTTAGAGTCCTTATAAGTCAGAAATGACTTGAAGGTACACAACAAGAACAACAAGTTATTAGGATTGGATGCACATAGAGGTGTGCCGGTGTTTTATTGTTGTTGTTGTTGACAAGAGGTCTATATAATTATAAACTTCATAACTTCATAACTCATTGTTGTTGTTGTTGTTGTGTGCCTTCAAGTCATTTTCAGCTTACAGCAACCATAAGGTGAACCTTTAATAGGGTTTTCTTGTCAAGATTTGTTCAGAGGAGATTTGTTCAGAGGCTGAGAGCAGGCGACTTGCCCAAGGTCCCAGTGGCTGTCATGGCTAATCTGGGAATTGAACCCTGGTCTCCAAGTCATAGTCCAACACTCAAACCATTATGCCATGCTGGCAGTGCACCAGTCAAAAAGAAATCATATATTGTTGGTACTATATTGATGGTATGTAGGCATCACAGGCAGTTATAGCTAAGCATTAGGGTGAATCATTACTTACCTAAAATCTAAGAAGAAATGGTTTCCTTCAGTTGGCAGTTGGCCCTCCTGCCTCTTGGATTAGAGGAAGGAGCATCCATGCCAGAAGTTCCTCAATGCCAACTTCAGAGAGAGAGAGAGACTACCATCCCAGCCTTCCACAATCTGGTGTCCCACAGATGTGTTGAAATGCCCATTATTCTCAACTGGATGGGAATGACTGGGATTTTAGCCCAATGCATGTAATGAAGGGAGACCAGGTTGCAGCAGGATGAGCTAAATTGAGGCAGTTGCCCCCTTGACAGAACAACAAGAATGAAAAGCTTACATGAAGTTACCAATCTCACATTATTGTGCTTTTAAATGCAGAACGTAAGAAACAGGTGTCTGAAAATCTATTTCATATGGCTGTACCTGTGAGAAGAATGCAGCAGCATGGAGGTATATGTAGAGTGTGCATTTGATGGCAAATACAGATTTGCTGTTCACTACAGGTCTGCTCTGCAGGAGCTGTGATGGGCTGGGGTAGTGGCTTGCAGATCAGTGGAGCAGTCAATTTACTTCATATTTTAACCTGGGGCTTTTAAAGCTTTTTAGGGCTGCGGTTGGTTACCTTCAAGTTGTTTCCAACTTATGATGACCTTATTATAAGGTTTTATTGGTAAGATTTGTTCAGAGGTGGTTCGCCCTTGCCTTCCTCTGAAGCTGAGAGGGTGTAACTTGCCCAAGGTCACCCAGTGAGTTTCCATGGCTGAGTATGGATTTGAACCCTGGTTTCCAGAATTGTAGTCTAATGCTCAAACCACTACACCACACTGGACCTCAAAATAGTTTCTGCCCTTTGAACAGCTCCGTAAAGCAATCCAAAACCTAGAATGGATTCACCATCCCACTGACAAGGAATCCATGGACTGCCATTGATTGGTCACTGCTTTCTTCTGGCAATCTCATATATGGGCAAAGTTCATATGGGCAAAGGTGCTACAAGATCTCTCTTCACCTCAAATGTGCAGTTTACTCTTCTCTGAAAAAAGTGCCACTCCTGATCTTGCTTAGGTTCCTAGGAAGGCTGGCTGAACTAATGCAAGTTGAGCCCTAAGATGAGGTTGCGTGCAAAACTAGAAACTGGGTGGAAGGATGTGTATTTCAGTAGCAATTCACTAACTGTGCCAGTTGTGTCACAGACTATACACAGCCATCAGCAAGAGCTGTCACTTTCTCTCACGCTGAATGACGCTTGGCTTAATAGAACAGCAGAGCCCAATTTAAGAGGGCTGCCAAGCTGAAGGATGGCATGAGTGGAGACTGGCAAGGCCCTTTAAAAAAGTTGGCATGGTTTCAAACTCTGTCTGGGGCAGGTGACTGCTGCATTTGCAGGGCCCAATTGTGGTCTCTTTTGTGGGCTGCGTTGCTGATTTTCGCTTCTGGTTGTGACTTTGAGTTTTGGGGTAAGGCAGTTTTTTCAGGTTTGGAGTTTCTAGCTTGTGGTGATGAAATGTGTATTAGGGAAAACTAGGGCTCTAGGAGTCAGTTTCCCACTGTTTTTTTTTTACTTTTCATTGCAAGTTTTCACTTTATAGTTTTCACTTTTTTTGTGGTCTCGGGGCTTTCAAGGGGGTGTCCAGGGAATCTGGAGCCCAGGAAAAGCCCCTGGAGTTGACACATGGCCACTTCACTACACTTTTCCATCCTCAAATTAAATTAAGGGGCCGTTTTCACATCTTTTTGTATACCATACTTGTGTATAAAGATACGCACACTGGCAGTGCTGGAATCTTTCTCTCCAACTCTCTTCCATCCCACTATATCTCTTGATAGTCCAAGACTCTCATGTTGGGAAACTCTTCATTGTCTTGGCTGTGCACATGCTATGGGATGTAGGCACACATGCAAATGTAATTCTACAAAAATATATTTCTAACCCTAAAATCTAGAGTGAATAGTATGCCACCACCGATATGGAAGTTACCAGCTGCTGCCATAGGGGAGAGGTGCTGCCTTGTTCAGCACAGAAATGTCTTAGCCTGGCCTTGCCAGAGATGTAAGCAAACAAAATTTTGTGATAATGTGACACCAACCTCCTACTTGAATTCTATAGATAGACTTGTTAGTGTGCCTTCAAGTCATTTCCAACTTATGGCATCCCTAAGGCAAACCTATTGTGGTTTTCTGAGGTTGAGAGTGTGTGACTCACCTATGGTCACCAGGTGGGTTTCCATAGCTGATCAGGGAATCAAACCCTAATCTCCACAGTTGTAGTCAAATGCTCAAACCACTACACCATGCTGGCTCTATAAATACACTACAGAATGTTAAATATAATCTAAATGGCATAATAGTGTAGGAAAACTGCTATAATGCAACATGGCTGAATCCAAACACATTGCCATAGACCAGTGCCACCAAATCCCAGCGGATACAAAGAGCTCACTTTATTAGACTAAAATTCTGCACCCTCTACTTCTACTTATCTCTACTCTTTTCTTCCTCAATGCAAAGAGTCTTAGTAAAATATAGATACTGATTAGGCTGACCTGGATTAACGTTTATGTTATAGAAGGCTGTAACCCTCTCATTTTTAGTGTTGGATCTCAGGTGAGGGTACCTTGGACCACAATGGAATTTACTGCCAAGCCAAAATGCCTGAAAAACTTTCCCAAAACAAGAAACATAGAATGTGTTTTTATGTTGAAGCTATAGGAAGTTCCTGGAAGTGTGATTATGCTTTAAAGCAAGGTGCATGTTCTCATGCACCTTGTGTACAAAAGAATTAATAGTTATTTTGCTGCCATTGTGCCACTGAAATTTGGCAGTATGGGATGGAAACCCAGGGCTGCATAAGTAGGTGGGGGCCTGAGAGTTGGCCATCCCTGTCGTAGAAATGTTTGAATTTGAAGCAAAATGTTATAAGGATGCCTTCTTTTGTTGCTCCCTTTGCAAGACCTTTAACAGGCAAACAAATGAACAAAATCTACAACAGCAATTCCAAAACAACCTTCTGGTTCTTATGGGGCTAAAATAAACAGGGCTTCTGAAAATAGGGGCTCTTTGCAGCAATGTTATAAATTTGGAAGATATGGCTAGATGGAAATCAGATACTGATTAGGAGGTGTTTTTGTTTTGTTTCGGGGAGGAGGGAGTAAACTCAATTGTCTGATCGCTGTATTGCCCCATTGAAGTTCTCCCAGTTTTCTTATTTTGATTCTTATAGGTACTTCAGGCACTAAAGGTTTGACATTTTTCATCTTATAATGAAATTCAAGACCATGCAACTTCCTTATTTCGCTCCCTTTCAGTTAATCATGATTAGTTTTTCCTTATTCTCCCTCCCCTCCAGTGGTCTAAATTAGTAATTAAATGCAATGTTTAACCATCACTCCTTGCTAGATTATAATTATGAAGATTCAAATGCACAAACAAGGTCTTGCATAATGATGAGTCTTTTGTCAATGGGGAGAATCTGAAGAGAGAGAAAAACCCAGGATCCATAAATATCAAAATTTCCACTATCTCTGTAGTATCAGTTTATGAAATTTACACTTTAGAGAACAGACTGCTGCTGTAAAGAGTGAATTGTGTACAGAAGTCAGATTTGGTGATCTACTATTGTAAACTGTAAACCCTCCCCCAATAGGCTGTGATTCTCTTCCAGTATTTTTAAAGGATATTCCCAGACAGCAGGCACCCCATTGCTTATATAGTACTATTGCACAAAATCCAGGTGTATTTGTGTATGTATGTGTGTGCACAAGCATTTATAGGTTGACCATCTATACTTCAGGGAAAAAGAGGAAATACATCACACAAAGAGAGGATTAAAAAAGATACAGATTTGCATAAAATGTGGATATAGCTGATCGCTAGAGCCAGTGTGGTGTATTATTTACGTGTTGGACTATGATTGTGGAGATTCCCATTTGACCATGAAACCCACTGGGTAACTGGGCAATTCACACTCTCTCAGCCTCAGGGGAAGGCAATGGCAAACTTCTTCTGAAGAAACTTGTCAAGAAAACCCCATGATAGGTTTGCCTTAGGGTTGCTGTAAATCAGAAATGACTTGAAGGAACACAACAACAACAAATGCCAATCTATATGTAAATAGGCAAATTAGAAAATAATTTCTACAATGTTTTTGAAAAAGACATTACATACCACCATAAGAAGTAGAGAGATTTTGTAGCATCTTTGAGACTAACTGAAAGAAAGAAGGTGGCAGCATGAGTTTTTGTAGACTAAAGTCTATTTCCTCAAATGCATATGGTGAAGTGGAAGCCAGGGCCATATATATTCCATTAGTATGTGAGAATGTCAATTCAAATTCAAAATCCTTTGTGTATGAATCATAGAATCATAGAGTTGGAAGAGACCACAAGGGCCATCCAGTCCAACCCTCTGAAGTGTTCACCATATGGAATTGAAGTGTTCACTCATAATATTAGGGGGATCTTCACGTGCTCATCCTCCAATGTGACTTATGCCATACTGTGTCAGCAATGCCCTTCAGCACTCTACATCAGGCAAACAGGCCAGTCCCTGTGCCAGAGAATAAATGAACATAAATCAGACATTAGAAATGGGAATACACAAAAACCAGTGGCAGAACCGTTTCGATCTCCTTGGGCTCCCTTAGACCTCAGAACAGCACAGAACTCCAAAGTTAGATTGGAAAGAGAAATGCAGAATTAGAGTTCATCCACAAACTACAGTCCCTCAGCAATGGATTGAACAAAGATAATGGCTTCCTGGCACACTACACACATTTCAACACTATCTGACCCCATCCTTGTGGAGGCGTCCTACACTCATCTATTCTCTTCACCTACAGGCTAGTTCCCCTTGCCAAACTGGTCTTCCACTTCATTTCCACACACAAAGGCTAGTTCTCAATGCCTTTGTTCACAAACAGCCATCATTAAAACTGGACTTGCCACTTCATTTCCATACGCAAAGGATTTTGAATTTGAATTGACATTTTCACATATCAATGGCATATATATGTCTGTCCCTGGCTCTCTCTACATACCGATGATTCTACAGACTAATTTGGCTTTATCTTTGAATCCCACCATAGGAAATTAGACTGTGACCACATGCTTGCTACTCAGTTTACTCTTCAGATACTAATGGTATATGGGCAAATTCAGGACTCCTCCTCCTCCTTCCTATGTTATGCTACCTTTATAGTAAACTGAGATGGGGAAAGCCTTTGTATTAATGACACCTTCAAGCAGAGGACTGACATCTGTAGAATAGGACACATGGCCATAGTAGGCTATGCATGGTTAATTGTGGTGATCATGTGGAACCTACCATGCATCTAATATGGGGTAAACTTTGTGCCGTCATTTCTGGTTTGGAATTGACAGGTGACACCTACATCAATCATGCAGAATGTTTGATCTTCAGCATTTATTATAATTAGCAGCAGTGAGTATGACACCACTAGCCATGCAGGTTTCAAGTGCAATGTTTGAAAGTTTGTGTTCTTTGAGTGATTGTAAAATGTTGTAAAACACACATCCATAAAGGGACACTTCCACATGCTGATTACTTCTCTCTACCAGGACTGGCTCTACTATTAGACAAAGTGAGACACCAATTTATACTGGGTGACATGGAAGGAGCATCACTTCCAGCCACCTGGTTGTTCACCTCTGTGGGTGAATAGAACCCAGGCTGTTCTGAACCCATGCTACTCAACATGCTGGTCTGAGGACTGGTGCTGATCTATGAGCCATCAACTACTGGTCCACAGAGAGTCTCCAGGAATTTATGCAAATATGATAATAATACAACACAGATATGGTACTACTTCCT